TACCACCACTACTACCACTACTTCCATTACCACTGCCACTACCACTACCACTACCACCACCACTACCCCTACCACTACTACTGCTACCACCACTACTACCACTACTTCCATTACCACTGCTACTGCTACTACTACTACTACTACTACGACTACTACTACTACTACTACTACTACTAGCCATACTACTACTACTACTACTACTACTACTACTACTGCTACGACTACTACGACTACTACGACTACTTCCACTACCACTGCCACTGCTGCTGCTACTACTACTACTACTACTACTACTACGACTACTGCTACCTCTACGGTCTGCGAGAAAGTAAGTGTTGTGTTCCCATGCCGCACGGATCTTTGCCACGTTCTTGCCTGCGCAGTGACAGGCTTGTGAGAAACACGCTGTAAATTTGGTCTTGCATGAATTGTGGCAGTAGGCTAGAAGAGGACTTATTTCCTCGAAAACCTAGTACGCGCCCCAAACTTGAATCTGCATATGGCAGGAGATGTTGCAAGTAGAAGCATTTTGATGACATCATCCAACCTTTCTTCCCTGCGGTCCCCACCTACACACGTGGATTGGGGGCGTTTGAAATTCTTGGAACGGGGCTGGTACCCTCACGACTCACGACTATTGCTTACGAGATTGTACGAGCAATTGCTGGAGGTGAAGAGGGAGGGAAGTTCGGGCCTAGATCTCGCGGGCACGCTGCAAAGACGTGATCATCGTCTGCATTCGCATAACTTCGAAAAGTCCAGTGTTGAAGAGACGAAAGCTATGGTTACTATTGTGTTTCGATTGCGGAGCCTTTGAGCCATTTCGCACATGGTTTGTTCGCAGAGGAACAGCGGGATGCAAAATGCGAAGAAGCAGAAGAGCAGCTTGCTTGCAGCAACTGCTCCAGACTTGTTCGTGTTAGTAGCGAGGCCTTGTGCAGCTGCAGATCCAGCATTTGCACAGGAACCTTCGATTGGCCCAAATCGCTAGGGAGTTGAAGGAGGCGGATGTGCAAGCTGCCAGAGACCGAAGAGCTTTGTTCGGCACTCTGGGGGTTCGTAAGGCCAAGAAGTTGGAAGACGATGCTTTAAAGGCAAAGCATATCGACACAGCTCGGACCTTGGACACGAGCTCAAAGTTTTGGAGCCATAGCAAGTTTGATTGTGGTTTGATGCGTGTTGTGGGTGGCATCAGCCGGTTAACACAGGTGACAAACTCCGACTGGATCGGGGAGACGTACGATGCAAAGATTGGCTTGACCGGCAAGCCCATGAAGGCTGAGTACAAGCGACTGACGCTGGAGCAGGAGCAGGCCAGCGATGGCCAGCGAGCAAAGACTCGAAAATCGACGACATGATCACAATGCGTTGCTGGCCAGGAGATCTACAACTCCAATGCCCGACAACTCATGGACAAGAGAGCAAAGAAAAAGCAGGAAATCCTCGAAAAGGCCACGCCCGCACTAGGAGGTCTTTGAGCAGTTTGCAGTATAGGCATGTACTCATGCCTCTGCCAGGCAGAAGATGCCCAGAAGATTCACTGCAATGTGTTTTGACAGCAGCAGGTTGTGATGCTGCTGCAACCTGACAACTATGCGAAGAAATGAAAGGTTGCAGTCCTGGGAGCACTCGAGGAAGAGCGGTTCCGACAGCAGCAGGACACTGACTGCCTCTCGTTTTGGTGTGGGAATGTGCGCAGCTCTTGTCGAAGGAACGGAGGATGCGTCTAGTTGAAGAGAACAAGAAGATGGCCGTGGCCGCGACCTCTCGCATCAATCATCCGAATGGCGGTGTTGCCCCGGTAGCTTTGAAGCTCCGCGTATACTTGAAAATGCAAAGACGTGCTAGGCCAAGAAGGAGGCTGACCGAGGAGAGCGGATCGAGTACTTCAAGTACGACCCGTGAGTGGCAGTGTTTACAAGCGGCATTTCACCGCATCTCGTTTCACACAGCATGAACGAGAGATGGGATGCCCTCGCAAATGCGAGGGCCGAACTGCGGGAGCAATGGGCCAAAAAGCCTCGTTATGCACGGGTTCGGGCATGTCGTGCAGACTTACCCGCCGATCCAGAACTATGCCCTGGTGCCTGAGGTGTGTCATTCACATTTCCGCTTGCCTTTCTCCTCTCTTCTCAAGATGCCAGATGTCCAATCAAATGCAGCACATGCCCGCCAGTCATTTCTTCATCGCACGATGCAAGCAGAGTCCCGGCTTTGCATGCCTTTTGTTGCTCCGATAGTGCGGCCAGAGATGAGAGCTATTTCTGTAGTGTAGCAAAGCCACGAACCAATCAATGCACACTTGCAAGCTCGCACCGTGCCGCGATGCCTGTCAGAGGTGATCCAGACAATCTTCTGGTCCCTCCACTGCTGTTGTAAGTCCGCAAGTCTGCTTTCACGTTGACGAGAGCCATCTTCCAGACTGCTTCTGTTTGGCTTGATGTGCAGACCTAGCTATATGATCTCGTGCAAAGCAATGGGAGTCCGGACTAGTAGCCTAGCAGCAGCTGGGCGGTGCTCCAGGTCGGACGTCATCTGGACCTTCCGCTGGATGACCTAGCAGCATCCTTGAGGCCAGCAGGCGGAGTCCGGAGTGGTTTGTGGCTGGCCTCAATCGGTCCAGGCAAGCCTCTACAGATCGGTTCGATTTTGTGCTTATGCCTCAGTGCCACATAAGAATGTGATCTACTGATCGTTTTGCCGGTGAGTGGGCAAAACCGAAGCTAGGAACAGGGTTAGAGATCAGTAGAACTGAACACGCGAGAGACTAGTGGATCTAGCGGCTATCCCATCACCGGGACAGCTACTGTTGGCAGCTTCGGCTATTGTTGCTGACGACCGAATGAAGCTACCAAGGTCAATCCCGCTCGCTGCTCAAAACGGACAAGGTGTTGGACACGAATTCAGACCCTCTGCTGGGGCCACAGCATCCACGGCATTGCAGTCGTATCTTTGCATGCACTTCAATTCGTCCTCAGCATGCTCGAACAGTATACATGCGTAGTTAATAAGTCACGGGACGCTTCGAGAACTCTTTCCTGCATGGCTTGTTTGAGCGTCAGGTGGAGTCGTGCTTGTCGTTGGAGGCCCGAGCTGCTAGCATGATTGGAGCAGGGTGTTTGCAGCTGACTTGCATTGCGCAGCGCTGAATGTCACATTGAAGTGTCAAGTCTAGCTGCGGCTTGCGGCAAGATGCGGCAAGCACCGCCCAGGGCGACAAATGGCGGACAGCCGTCGTGGGCAGAGTCTCCGAGTGCTTGGATCTGGATTGCGGCCTACAGACGGAGGCACCGGCGGTGAGAAGACGCACTCAGCGAATCCGAAGCCTACGAAGCCGAGGAGCTTCGGCTCCAACTCGAGACGGAACTGCGCTGGGTGCGGCTCTCTGCCGCTCTGTGCTTACTTGGCCTGCGGCGGTGACTGCTTCTCAGCACAGCTTCGCAGAAAGGACACACGGAAAAAGCCATGAATCTTTGCATGTCTTGGCAGCCAGACATCAGCTCTATCCTTAGTCTATCCTTCGAGTGCAAACCGAAAGCACATATGCAACCAATCTAGCAAGAGACTGTCTGCACAGAATTCGAGCATGTTTGGCCGCGGGCAACCGACCAGACAAATGGCCGATGTCTGCCGGCGGCAAGAAGCTCTTCGATGTCTCTGCAGCTCTCAGCGTGCTTGGTGCAGCGTCCCAGGACATAGAGAACAGGGAGTTCCCATTGTGCTCGCAAAGTCGGTTTGCAAACTGCGCATCAGCCGATGAGCTGATCGGGTGGTCGGGTTTAGGGTTGAGGGTTTGGGGGGTTTAGGGTTTGGGGTTTACTCGTAGGGTTTAGGGTTTTGGGTTGATCGGCTCTTGCACGGTTTTGGGCCCAAAAGCCACCCACACTGGGAGGTCCTGCAAACCTTGCGCGCATAATGTCCTGCAATGCGATTCGGGCAAGACTATCAGTCCTGTTGAAGCCTGGTTTCTGAAAGTGGGTGCGGCTGCGTTCACTTGGCTTTCAGAATATTTGGCGTGGTGGGATTGCTGAAGTAAGAAGAACTTTCAACATCCTGTTCTCCTCAGTGCCGCTGGGGGTGTTGAGAATGACAACTTGCTAAAGCGGGGAAAGAAAATCGGGGCTGTGATTAGCTGGGTTGGAGAATGTGCGTGCTGGCATGGCCGCTGCCACAGCTTCCGCACTTGGCTCCATAGGCAGATCTGCAGGTTTCCGTCTAACATCGTCTAACCACTTTACATGAAGCCAGAAACATGGTTACGGCGCCTGTACCCGCCCATGCATTTCAGAATGAGGCGTTTTGCATGGATACGTGCGAAACCACAGCGAGAGCGCAATCTCAAAGAAAGTTCTTGTTCAGGCAGGTGCGCGAAACACTAGAGGCTGAAGTAAACTTTGGGCCTAACTGCGTTTTCGCTCGGGTTTTAAGCTCATTTCTGAAGAGGCTGCAGAATAAAACTGTATTTTAGGGAGAGTTTTGAAGGATGTATGGCTGAGGTTAAAGTATTGACTTGACTTATAGGTTTGACTCAGGGTCCAGGATTGGGTTGAAGCTTGAGGCCAGAGAATCAATGCCGCTTTTGCTCAGGCCCCCCCTTGCCAGTAGTCCCAAGTCGCGCTGTAAACTTGCGGATGCGAGCCCTCGTCAGCAAGCTTTCGGCTCTGTGTTTGGGCTGGCACCGCGGTTTTCAGGTTTCCCCAGTTCCTGTCCAAGAGCTGCGTTCCGAGGATCCTGTTGCAGTCCTCGGAGCGCTGCACAAACTGGTTTTTCGAGTGGGACACATGCAAGACGCGTCCGCGGTGCGCCGCAGACCAACTTTTGCATCCATCTGCAAACAGAGTGCTATTGCGAGCTACGGACATAAGCTGCTTCATGACCATATGTGTACATATATATATATGCATATATACAGATATGTACATATATATATATGTATATATACATATATATATGTAGGTATAGTCATCATCAGCAGCAGCATCATCATCATCATGAGCGTCGTCATCATCTTCATCATGTTCAGCATTACCATCTTCATCATGTCCACCATCACCATCATCATTTTCTGGCGGGATCCGACACCTCGGAACCCCAAACCCTCAACCTAGGCTTAGATTGAGGGCCCGCTCAAGAGGATATGTGACGGCCGGAAGCTATTATG